TCTAATGTGTGGTATATATTACAGATGTGGTGGGCCAAGTATGTTGCGAGGGAGAGGTTATAAATAAGAATAGCCGTGGAAACAGCGTTCCTTCCTTGATGCTTGAATTACATGATCTAAGGTTAGAGTTTTCATATTATAAGAATATGTGATTTTAAAGCTAATAATTGATGTATTTACCAAATTAAAAATCTGCAAGGGTTAGCTATTAAATTGGATTTTGAATTTCAGAGCTGAAAAAGTGCGGGTTACACTATGGGGTGAGAGTGTTGATAACTACATGAGACAAAAATCAATGCTTGAAAATGGAATCATTGTTGGATTTTTCACGTCAACCTTGGTCAAGCGATACATGAGTATGAGTTTTTTGTTTTTTACTAAAAACATATGACGACTATGCACATGGTTCGTTTAGTTGATTTGATTTTCTTCATTGCAGACAATACTGTTTTGTCATCAACTTCAGCTACAAAGATTTATTTAGACCTTGACATTGATGAGGTTATTGCCTTAAAAAAGAAGAGCAGGTAGTTAGGGTTTATATTTTCCAACCATCAAATATTAGAAATGATATCCCATAACCTTTCCAAGTGTGAATAATCGTTACAGTTCTTCGGCAAGGGAACATATAATCCAACCGCTTATCATTGAGCAACAAGAAGAGCTGGATCGAAATGCTGTTTTAAGCAAATTGAAAACCATTGGCGAGGTTTTAGCAATTACAAAGACAGATTTTAAAGATGTAATAAGATGACATTAAATCTGTCTCATTTCATTTCATTCATGAACCACTAATTTTGTTTTCGACTTTAAAAATATTAATCTTACACATGTACAGGGCACTCTACTATTTTGTGTTGCTACAATATATGACATCCACAACAACAATGGATGGTACTACAACTCATGTGGCTGCAAGGGAATAATTAAGGCGTACGGACGAAATTTTTGGTGCAAGAAGTGCAATAAGACAGTGAATGATGCCATTCCAAGGTAAGTTTTATGCGCATGTCATGATAGAATTAGCACATGTTAACACTGTCAATCAGGTAATACACACAGTCTCACTTCAAATTCAAAACACAATAATGCATATGGCGTATTAATGAAAGCAATTTGTTTACAAATAAACAAAAAAATGTGTGTATTCGCAGATTTCGAATTGAATTAGCAGTCAAGGATGCCACAGATTGTACGAAGTTCATTGTGTTTGATGATGTTGCTGAGAAGATGATAGGACAATCTGCTCCTAGCATATATGATATGCAAGAGAAACTGGAGGAGGTATTAAGATTTGGAAATACTACTTAAGTGTTATACTTTATACGCCATATGCAAAACATTTTAAAAATGTACACAACAACTATTGCAGAATAAAGATTCGGTGGGCGAAGTACCTGCTATTATTGCAAACCTTATTGGGCAACGATTGGTTTTCCGTGTCAAGCTAACCGAATACAACAGGACTGCATATAGACAGAGTTTCACAGCAAATAAGGTTTTGGAGGAATCAATTTTGGAACCACCAAGGAATGAAGAGGTTTTTATTATAATCAGTTTATATAATACGTTTTTCCATTGTTTTTTTGATATACTTATTCACTGTCAATCAATGTTTTTAAAACACAACTGAATTCACCAACGGTGCAGCTAGCGCTCTGTGATGATGGACCAAGTAAAAGAAGACGTTTAAGGTTTGATCACTACAAACCAATGACTTTATACATTCAATCATCTTTAAACCCTTAAGGTCTGGAATTTGTTATTTCATTTATTACCAGATTGAGCAATGCCTCCCGTATAGAAAATGAATTATTCATTTGGCTTTTACAGTGAGGATTTTACTCAACGTGAGGGGAAAGCACTACTAGAATGAGAAGCTAAATATGGCACAACTTCCACTACTGCTTTTGGTCTTCATATTTATATTACTGCAAATAAAGGAGTAGTTTCCCACAAAGAAGTGAATCTCCTATAGTTTACGTTACTGTGTTTTGCCTCATGTTGTTTTTTACATTTTCCTGAGACTACATTGGAAACTTATGTTCTCTCTTCATTATTTAATAAAAGTCAGAGTTTACTTTCAAACTCTAGGCCTCGGCATTTTAAAACTGTTTCCAATAAGCAATCCATACTTACACTATAGTAATAATAGACACATAATCAAGCCATACTGAATGTACCATGACCTGAAAACATATAATACAAAGCATGTACGGTGCATATTTCTGCAGAATACAAAGCACATACAGTAAAGGCAAGCATGACACACCGTAACTTTAAGCACAAATTAAAACCCACATGAAACAGGTCATTAATGCTTCATGCAAGGGAATTGCAAAATCTACTAACACCAGTTTTATAAAAGTTCTATTCTTTGCCTTCATAAGTGCATTCATGGTGACAAAACACAAACTTGCAGTTATCTTTAAGAAATAATGAAAACACACACAATGAAAAAATCCTATACACTGATTCTCCACGTATGCAAGTCTCCCGGGCGTACGTCACCATGAGAGAATACTATGCTTATCGCATTCAACAAAGACTCACTGAAGGTACAACACATCTCCAGGGAGGAAGACTTTTCCAACAATATTTGGTAGACTCCTACACTGCCATAGAGGAGGAAAGACTTCGATTTTTACGAAAGAAACAAAACATATTTCGCACTGAAATCTACCGAAATGTGTGTGATGCCATCAACAAAGGGGACACAACAGGGGCATCTGTGGGGAAACGAACAATATTGCCATCATCATTCACCGGAGGACCACGATACATGTTTCAAAATTATCAGGATGCAATGGCAATATGCAGGAAATTTGGTAACCCAGATTTGTTCATTACGTTCACAGCAAACTCAAAGTGGCCGGAAATAGCAGACATGCTATCAGCAATACCAGGCCAACGTCCAGAAGACCGTGCAGATATTGTTTCATGTGTATTCAACATGAAGCTGAAACAACTCATGCGAGTACTAACAAAAGATCTGCACTTTGGCCCAACACAAGCAGGT